TTGCATGAAAGGAGCTAAAGTGGGGATAAAACAATGAAATCTGGTGACTTAATTTAAAAACTGGAGATTTTATATTAGAGGATTATTAAGTTTAATTAGTTTAAGAAATCGCTCTGAATTAAGCCTATTGAATCTTCTTGGAATAAGATTGCTTTACATTTCATAAAAGATACAAAGCTTATTCAATAAGTCAATTTTAATAATTCAATGTTATTAAAGCCAGCTACAGACATTCAATTTTAATTGCACAATCGTAACTGAACAGTCCGACTGTGCAGTTAAACTGAAGGTGTGTAGCTGGCTTTAGATTACTAATAGGGATAACACGAGATGCAAGTTATTTGAACTTCCATTAGAACCACATCAAAGCAATTGAATGATTGATTATTACGTTTCTTCTGTGTTTTTTCTCTAATAAGGCGATTAGTAGATGCCATCCGGGCTATTCGTAGAGCTTAATTTAAAATAAACATGTAATGTAAGGATTAAGTAGTAATATGTTTTCTTTTTCTTTTCCAGTTCCTTACCTGAGGCCACGGAATAAAAAAGTAAGTAAACATTAAATAAACGTTTCGGTATATTTAAAATGTTTTATACGACGTTACTAAATAACATTAAATTAAATTTTCCTTTTCAAGTGTTAAAAGAAAATGTCTAGAATGTTGAGTTTACTTAGCACTATTCTAGCAAGTTTCTTAACCTTGGCAATTTGTTAACATGTCAAGGTTACTGCCGTATTTTACCTACATTTTTAACGAATCAGTCGCAACCAGCAGAATGATCTATAGATATATTGTTTTATTTTTTAATAAAGACAGAATTCTACGAGCCTTTTTAGACTAACATTGTTAAATTAACAAATTACTACATTTTAATTACTCGGTACTTTATCCATCATTACAACAAAATTTGGCTACAAATTAATATTCGGTGCTACGAAGTGTACTACGCTTGAATATGCTGTAGACTTCCGTAGCAAACTACGTCTCAATGCGTACGGGCGCAGCGCTCTTTGCTAAATAAATGAAGAGGTAGTTATATTTTGAAAATTTCAAATTTTATATTAATAAATTTGAGAACAGAAAATCAACTATTTTCATAGCATTTCAAAAGATTTGAAGAATTAGGAGAACGGTTGGTAATAGGTTGGTAAAAATATGACATAAAGGAAAATTAATCAAAAAGATATAGAAGATTAACGTGGAAAACGTAAGCTATTTTAAAACGAGTTTTATGTATGTCACCCTAATGACTGCCCCTTGTTACAAGATTAAGTACACGCATGTAACCCACATATGTATGTAAATCTATAATCGTGTATTCATGCAAGATAGAACTCAAATCGTTACCTGAATAGAACTATAAGCAAATTACCTAGCTACCAGTTAGAGATTTTAAAATTTCAGTTGGACCATAATTGTAAGCTGTCCGAACGACAAGGATGTCTGATCTTGTGGGTATATGTTAAACTAAATTATAATAGCTTACTAGCCCCCTTCTGATAATGTAAAAAAAAAATGTCACAAATTCCTTTTCATCTAATCCCATAAGGATCTTATGGCAGTTTTTGACATTGACAGTCCAACAAGTTTAAAGGGTTAACAGTTGACAAACATTTCCTAAGTTCTTCCGAAAGTCGTCCATGTTGCAACTCCAAGCAATTGAATCTGTCATTGGGCGTGTTTGACTGTACATTATAATTCGATGTTGATAAACAGTGTAGGCAATTGATATCTGTTTCGACTGTTTATATAAAATAATATTGAAATTATTTTATTATTTGACTTGATTTGCTTTGAAACGAGGTTGTTTTGAATTTGCCTCCGTGATCGGGTGGGTGTAACGAAGCGTGGAAATTGTGAGCTCAATGAACCAGCACTCAATTTATCCGGAGTAAATAAAAAAATATTTATGTGATACAAATATAAGTCACGTTAAGCTTAAAATATATAGAACGAAAATAATTTTCCATTTTAATCGTTATAGTTGTAATTTTTTTTTTTAGCTTTTCAATAGACAGATTCATATACGAGTTGTTGAAAGCGGAATTATTAAGATGATCCTCCGAGGGAAAAATAACAAAGATAACAAATGAAATTTGAATCTTAATTGAGATCTGAAGACTCGATTTATTTACTGTGCTTCGGTTCCTATTGAGGATTATTAATTTTAATTACTGCGAGAAATCAAGAAGTAGTGAGTCAATTTAACCATATGAATAATATATTATAGATTAAAATTTATGTTATTATACTTATTAATGGATTAAATGGAAGTGTCCTAATTTGTACCATTCAACCATTTATAATTAAAAAACAATGAGTAGTTTAAGAACAATTACAATCTCGAATTAACTAGGCTAAAAGTGGATTACAATAATCGACAAATGCATCCAGTTTCTAAAAGTTAGTCCCAAATATCCAATAGAACACCGGGGTATTATTATTATACGATCGTGATTGTAGATATTTAAAAAAGAAAAATGTTTCCTATTTCATTACCTTCGTATAATGTCAACAGAATAAGAAATGTAATGTATTTCTAAGTGGAAATTTTATTTGTATTTAGCGCAGCGACGTAGCTGAGTACACTCGGGCTGTGATCCCGCGGCAAACAAACAGGGAATGAAGCAGTCCATTAGCGTGGACTCCTTCGTGCTGAAAACACGTTGCAATTTTAAATAATATTTATAACTTGCCTTGCTTAAAATTTATTTGAGAAAAGTCTTTTACATTTTGTGTTTCTAGCTCAGTGCCCGTGCCTGAATATTCTTTTCTACCTACAGCTTGACAGATTTCAATTCGAAGCGTCTTATTTTTAGATCTTTTAAAGAAACTTTTCCTCGTAATTTTGTGTTTTGTTTTGTGCTTTGGTTGCTCTCAAAATATATAGAATGTGCGTAATAAATGCACTGTAAGCTGTCAGAAAAAAGTAACAGAAAAGAAAAATATGCCAAATTATCATTAGTATAAGTTGCTACAAGTAATTCCTCTAAGCAATTTAAAAATCAACAGTGCGGTCTAGTAACCACTAAAAGAAGCGAAGGCTTCTAGTATATATATATAGCGTAAAAACTAACTGTAAAAAATAATTAAGTGTACTGCAACTCTTTCATAATAACATTAACTCTCCTCCTGCAATCCCAGACGCCAACAATATCATATACTGTAGTAAAACTTACATTTTAAGGGATTGAGTTCTCTCGCAGCGTTTTCTACGGATTGAGTGCGAGCGTATGAAAAAGCTTCGCTTCAGATTATTGTTACATATTTTAGTTAAATTACTACCTTTACATCAAAACATTTCATCCGTAATAAAGTTGATTTCTGCTATACAATCTATATAGTCATGTCCCAAACACTGAACCACTACAAACGGAACAGAAATAGACCGCTTTACGTTATACCCATTAATTACTTAGTAAAAGTATATTTTGGGAAAAAGTACATCTTGTTAAAGTAGTTTTGATGCTACAAAAGTATAAATAGAACCATAATATATCAGAAAAGAGACTAACATATTTGATTAGCGTAATTTTGAGATTTTGTTCAAAATCAAAACGATTGTATCGACTCAATCAATATAATCGTTTGAATAGTCTATGGTTTAGTGCGCCGGCTGGTTGTCAAAATGATTTAATCTCTTGCCGCTAGAGGCGCTGGCTGCTAAAGTCTTCTATGACAATCGCAAGCTTCACACCCAGGGGGTGGAAACTTAGAAGAAGGACGGTTTGTATGGAAAGTGGCGCCACCTTTTATATAATCGTAAACATCATTTCATCTCATGGCTGAGAAGAAGCATCATTTCTGTCATCGAGACATTCATGTGTCATCAAACCGCTACGTTTTTTCGTATTTCTATGTCTGTTCTTGTATTCTTAGTTAAATGTTGTTTCATTCATTTTGTTTTTAATTAAAATGTGTTTTCGTGAAAAATGACGCCGTACGCAACTGTGTTTTAGATGGACTGATTATGGTAAGTTCCAATTCAATAAAAATTTTCATGTTATTCCCATATGTTAGACTCATTTAAACATTTAAATATTTTAATATTTTGGTGTAGTTTTTAGCACCACAGTGATTTATCCTTTCCGGTTATCATATTGAATGGTGCCCTACTTCTAATACATTTTACATATCAGTTCCTATACTTGATAGGAAATCACATTCTGTTTGTTTGTTGTAGGTGCACATATACACGGTTTCCCCCTTCCTGAGAGACGGTCAGTGATGTTCAGAAAATGTGTGCCAATCACTGGAATTATAGAGCCATAAACTGATGTGTCTGAAATTAGTAGGTGGGTCCATGTGTGTATATGTAAAAAATATATTTTTTTATTTGTAATTTTTTATTGTAAAGAAAAATTTGCTTGCCTATGTTGTAAGAGAATATGTTCAGAGTGTTTAAACTCGCAAATAACTATAAATTGCCAGTTGCCAGCTTGCATGTGACTGAAAATATTTTGGGGTTTGGTTTTAATTACAGGGTATGCATTCTTTTGTGACCGCGCTATACTATTTATTACCGTAAATGTAATTTTCAAATATATATATTAAAAATTAAAATATTGAGCTGATATCTTGAAAGTCATTGATGTATATGTACTTGCATAGATTTAAAATTAAGTTATGTAGAAATATAATAAATAATGTACAAAAATATAAAAATATTTTGTTTTTATTTCCCCAATAATAATAGGATCATTTTAATAGAGGTATTTCATAGAAGGCTACTTGATATCGGCTCACTATATTAATAACTACATAAGTGGGTATATTATTTTTGAACATTGATTTAATGTCAATTTTAACTTTATTAGATTCCCACTTATTAGTTATTATTATAGTGAGCTAAATAAGCGTGCCTACGTATATAGGTACCAAAAAAAAAAAAATAGTTCAGCGATTATACGCATGGAGCGCCACAATCGCCGTGGATCCACGACTTCGTGCGAGTTGCCCCTCTTTCTATAGTATACTTATTATACTCTTTGTTCACACCGACGCGTCATCTACGTCGGATTTTATTAGTTTTGTAATTTTATGTGATTATAAAATTGTGATAAGTGTAATTTTTATACACATCTTGGTGATAATACTAGTATTAAGATTTGTTATGTTATTGTTGCACGAGGGATTACAAAACGAGGTAAGCAAAAAGCTGAGAGTGCGGCAATGGAATTTGTTTGGGATTTGCGAGATCGATAACCCGGTCGGCTAGCCATGAGGCGCGACGCTGAGGTTATGTCGCGAGTTGCGAGCCACTAGATGAGTTCAAGTAACGGTCCGCGAGCCGGGCGGCCGACTCGCGTTACAGTCGCAGAATCCGGTCGGACCTGGGACCAGTTAGTTTAATTTAGTATCTAGATCCTCATTTGCCGCCCTCATTCCGTTGCGCTTACCACCAATAGCATCTGTAAATAAATAATCGGTAATTAGTCTCGCTTAATAAGTCAGGAAGTCCCATGATCCCTCACCACCTATAGAACGCTCGAAACCTTTGAATTCTCCTTTGAGATATGCGCCTGTTTCCAGCTTACCCTGCCTGCAGTGCGTGCCAAGAGCCCCGAGTCCCAGCCATTAGATTGAGTGGAGTGTTCCCCGCCCACACGTAGCCCCGTACGCCGCCAAAATTCCGCGCGACACAACGGACTCCTCCTCCAGCATGGAACTGGAGAAAGCCCCCACGCCTCTCCACGAGGAAGACTCCAAAATCACCCTCACTATCAGACTGATTATGCAGGGGAAGGTAAGATAAGGACACTTACATTTATTTTTATAAAACAAAAATATTGGCACTTTTTAAACTCGTACTTTGTTTGTTCTTGTACTTGTTGATCTGTGAAAGTGTACACTTTACCTTCTTCTAAATTCCAACATAGTTATCATTACACTGTAACTATTTGTTTCATTTTAATTTAAACCCATGGAGCATAATCAAGATCATTATAAGAGTGATTAACATATCCATCTATTTACTATTTAGAGTAATATGCTAATTTTACCCCAGTATTTAAACAGCTATGTTCTTTACTTATAAATACCCTATTGGTAAGCATGTCTATTACCAACACCTTCACATACTTAGATTTAGTAACAAAAATCAATTCTTTTTTCTTCCTATTTTTTTACTTTAAACATTAGCTTTTAAATATAAGATCATGTCATATAAATTTTCAAATTTATTCTTGTCGGAGAGTTGCATTTTTTACAAGCATTAAAATTATTTACTGCATTATTAAGTTTTACAAATCATTACTTTTCATAAAACCAGAAAATCATGTTAAATTTGCACTAGTTTATCTTACTCAATATTATAAATGCGAAAGTTTGGTTATATCAATGGATTGTGAGAAGGTATCTCCAGAAGGCCTCAAAAGATTTTGATAAAAAGAAATATAGATGTAGAACATAATCTGAAAGGACACATAGGCTATGTGGATGGAGTGGGTGACAGCTATTTAAATATAAAATAATTAATATGTGGCCTAATAAGTCTAATAAATTTGACTTCTATATAACAAAGAATGTTTTGTATTAACATCACCTCTAGTTAACTTAATAAGTTCCATGAAAGAGTTAAACATTTTGAAAATACCCTATTTTAATATAACGCAGCATTTTAATCTTGTTAAGAAACACACTTGTATGGCTGCTTAACACAAGATCTTGTTTACTTATTACTCATGCGTACTTAGTGACTAGGCCTTAAAAGACAATATGGAGCATTAACTTTGGACTAAAAAAATAAAATATCTAATTTATTATTAGTGTTCAATGTACGATTTTAAACATAGGTAACTGATTTAGAACAGCCACATATCTAGTTTGCACCGATGTGAGACATATTGATGTTAACATGTACCTATATATCAAGGTACCTACTTTTAATTGGCTGTAATCCAATACAAAATATATTTGGCATGATGCCAAATATCAACACTCGGCTTGTTCATCAAACTTGTCCATTTGTCTCTTTTTCTAATTGAAATAATCCATGTTATTCAGAGTAAAGGCTTTTGTTTTGCTTTCATTACTCATTGTTTGTTATTTAGCCATTTTATTAAAGTTATATCCATTTACTTATTAATCAAAGTAATGAAAAGAGTTCCATCTCATAACAGATCATAAGAGATGTAACTTTTTTCATCAGATTATAATGGTCATGTAACTAACATTCTTTTATAAGAACTCTGCTTATCACTGTGTTCATTTTAAAAAGATTAGAATAATTACTTTAATGCTTAAAAAGTAATAAATCCATATTAAAATTTGATAAAGGATGTTCAAATAAAATCCAATCCATCTATACATAAAACTTAATTCTTATCTTGCATGCGTTATTATGTAACAAATTATCTTAACATTCAAACAATTGTATTAGTCAGACTATATTGATGTTTGTAGCTGCATGTACATTGCTAGCATACTATGGAAGTCAATGTGCAGTGTTGCCAGAAACAAACTGAATGCAGCCGCTCTAAAACTGTCTCTGCATCCCCGCTGCATCTATTATTGCAGCAAAGAATTGCTCGATGCTAAGTCTATTATTGGCTAGCAGACAGGAAATCTTTTGTACGATAAATCTAAACGCGACTGCATTAATTATACTGCCACTTGTTGCACAATACTTGCCAATGTTGCTGTTTCGCCCGGGTTATTTTAATTCACAATACTTGTATGTACTAATAAAATATTTCTCTTTTCCCCAGGAAGTTGGCAGTATTATAGGCAAAAAGGGAGAAATTGTGAAAAGATTTAGAGAAGAGGTATTGATCATTAAATTTTTTGAATATATTTAAAATAGATAACAAACATAATAAATTGATTTGGTATTTTTCAAATATTAATAATCAAGTAATTTGTACGTAATACGTATACGTTTATATGTAAAGTAATCTGATCATTTGGTTAGTATTTTCACACATTATTCATCTTTTGTAATAATTTATTATTATTATTTCAGTCTGGAGCCAAAATCAACATATCGGATGGATCATGCCCGGAGCGGATTGTTACAGTCACAGGCAACACAAGTGCTATATTCAAAGCATTCACACTTATCTGCAAAAAGTTTGAAGAGGTCAGTATATTGAGAAATATGTTACAGAAACGTGAGTATATGTCATACAGAATTGTAGAGAAAATCAAGGTATAATTCTAAGTTTTTCTGTGAAAGCCATTGGCATTGAATGGTAAAGAATATTTATGTTAATGAAAAACATAGTACTAAAAACAGTAAAAGTGATAGCATGTACAGTCAAACCAGGATATGCAAGAATTCACTATAAGTAACTGCCATTGTCCTGACCGACAAACTACATAAGCAATAAACCTCTAAAAGCAAAAAAATCCTGGTTATTTGAACTCGTAAATGTATTACTTAAATAATCTTGATGAGTTAAAAATATTCGGCAGCTATTTAATTGCTTTTTTATACTAATTAAATAATAATTGCTTTTAAAATATTCTTTTGTAATATCTTCTTTAAATATGTCATTTTTCACATAGTAATAATGCAACGAGGCAAACACTAGATACCAGCAATCTATTTTACCCGATAAAATCCCCTGAACTGCGCAGGAAATAGCTTTGCATATAATTTAAATTTCAAATTTGGCGCGAACGTAATCGCGAGCAATTTCTTTTCCGCTTTCGTAATCAATGTGTGGACTTAGACAGTTTTAAATCAATCTGGCATAAACAGTCTCTGAATAATACCGTCTGCACTACTTCTTCAGATTAAATATAGTATATCTAATGTAATGCATATATGTTTAAATTATATTATCCTTCTATCTTATATCTATAACCATTTTAGTTTAAAGTACTGTGTTTTGTCAAAGATAATAGCGGAGATGACTATATGTGTCATACAGCGATTTTGGTCTTAGAAACCATTGTTAAATACGCTAACCAACAACATTCAATTTTCAAATACTGCCATACCATAATTTACGTTTTAGATCAGAAGGGATGGCTGTGTAGTCTTATTTTCATCTAATCGATATAGAATTTTAGAAGATATTGAAATTTAAAATGAATACAGATTAAAATATACTACAATACTAAATTCAATAAAACAGTAAATGTTATGATTGACTACAGATAAAATGACTTGTACGATGAGGCTATGTTTTATTTCTATTACTTACCTTACTGGTTTTATTCTAAGGTTAAACGATTATAAGTCTAATAGCATATGTAAATAGAGTTTGGTATATATTGCAGTGGTGCTCGCAGTTCAATGAGGGGGGCGGCGGGGCCACGCGCGCGCCCATCACGCTGCGGCTCATCGTGCCCGCCTCGCAGTGCGGCTCACTCATCGGTAAAGGTGGCTCCAAGATCAAAGAGATACGTGACGTCACCGGAGCTAATATACAGGTAATTACATATGTCTAATAAGACAAATAATTTTATTTGATTTATTTTAGTCATGTATTATCAACATTTTACCAGTTTTATATGAATGCAATGACCAAATGTTCGAAACTCTATCAATTTTGACGTTAATTTGATACATATGGACAGATTTACCACTTTTTTTTTCCCCCGCTGAGGATGTCTGCTACTTATTTATTATAGTAATTTGAAAATATGTTGCCAATCTTTATGCAATAGCTAAGTGGAGATTAGTATTAATAAATAATATAATTAAATTACTTTTGTTAACAGGTAGCAAGTGAAATGCTGCCGAACTCGACTGAGCGAGCTGTGACAATCAGTGGAACTTGTGATGCCATCACTCAGTGCATTTACCACATCTGCTGTGTTATGCTAGAGGTATGACTAATCTTTAATTTACACTGCTGAAACAAAAAAATTGTCTTCTTTTTTTGTCAATTACAGTTGTACTCAGAATTAAAAAAAAAACAATAGGAGAAAAAATGTACAATGTTTTGGCATATTTAAATTTTTTTTCAGTTAATCTTTGTAGTTTCGCCTTAAATGTTCATATGGTTTTCTAAAGGACACCTCACGATGTAAAAAAATATCGGTGTTTTTAGCAGATATATATTTTTTAACGTTGAATTCCAGAGTCCACCAAAAGGTGCTACAATTCCGTACAGACCGAAGCCGAATGTGGCGGGCCCAGTGATCCTGGCGGGTGGGCAGGCCTACACAATACAAGGCAACTACGCCGTACCTGCGCAAGACGTGAGTACACACAAGCCTTATTATAAAACAAAATGTACTAAATATAAGTAAAATTATGTATATACATATATGGAACCATGCGATGAATAAATTTACATGTCTTACTGTGGGTTTCTGACATCTCTGTATAAAACTTGACAAAATATGATTTGTCATGTAACAATATGTTTGTATGTGGATTTAGGTCTCGGAAACCCACGTTTAAAGATCTCAAAGATGTATCTTTCTTTGACGCATTCGTCGATATATGTGTTCTGTGTATACTCCCACAAGGATTTTATGGCATTTTTTGACAGTGACAAGGGGAACAAGTTTTAAGGGTTACCAGTAAGCAAAAATTTCCTAACTTCCGAATGTCGAACTCCATGCATTTGATTTGCAACTTGTGATCCAAATTCTTGTAGTAATACTGTACTACTTAAATTGATACATCCAAACATATGAGCAAAAAATACTTACATGTCATATCATCCGTGATATTTTTATGGAATTTCGAAATTATGAAATGGCAACACTGAAGAGTTCAGCTGCTCCCTTATTGGTCAAAATATGACGCTGTCAAGGGGTCGTTGATAGTTGACATGGTTCCCGACTGACATAAGATCCTTGTGGAGTTATTTTACTATTAGAGCCCTGAGTGTGGCATTTAATGATTTAAAATATAATATTTATGTGCATTTAAATTTGTTTTTTGAGACGGGTATAAAGGTGTATCAAGTTTTTGATTAATTTCGTTTTTTACATACATAAGCTAGGATTGTTTATTTCAAGATATAAGATTGTTTTTTGTTTTGTTGATACATAAATAACTTTAATAAAATTTTGTAAATCACGAAATTTTAGTTTCATTGGTAGGATTAGAATTTGTTAAAACATTTGTATGTGAAAAATTATTTCGTGTTCTATAAATGCTACATACATTTTGCTATCATGATAAAAAAATGCAAAAAAAAGTATAAAAAAACAAAATAATTAACATTAATGTAATAAAAATTGTTTACTTTGAAAAATTGCATCGCGTCGACTGGCCATTTTGCAATCGCATAATATTTGCAAATAGTTAACACGCAAGTTCTTGGTATATTTTTTTTATAATTAACAAATAGACCACGATATCGTATTCATTAGAAACGTTTTTATAATATTCATTACATGCGTTCAGTAAAAGTGATTTTTTTTTATTGAAACAAGCTAATTACCAGTCGACCAAGAATTATATACGTTTTTACATACAAGTAAATTACTGAGTTTACGTACGTTAAGAAATTTTTTATATTACATTCACATTTTTTAGTCGATATAGTAGTCATAATGGGGTATACGTATGTAATTTATCATTTTCAACATTAATAAATGTTTGCATATTCAAACAGTATAAATCACACAAAATATTAAAAAAGTAACATGACAAAATACTTAAAATCCACCTTGATCGAAGTAATATAAAGTTATAAGAGGACATGTCATGTCTACAAAATATTTAAGATTTCATTGGTAGAAATAATCAAATTGAATAGAATGGTATATCAACTCTTGTCATAAAGACAGTCTTCATCTGTTCCTTGGGATAAGAGTGGAAAAGGGAATATTGGTAACAGCGATCAGTTGTATGAAGTTAATATTGCTGGGTGCGGTGTGCAGGCGGTGTGCGCACCGATGTTCCCCCTGCTCGAGGTGAAGCCGCCCCTCGTGGGCGCGCTCCCGCCGCACCACCTGCTACCGCCGCCGCTACACGAACACCACCTTGTGAGTCCGACCGCTCCTCAAGCTGCCTCATAGAGACTTTATTCCTACTCCAGTGCTCGGAATTATTCTGTCCATGTGATTACAGCCCATTTTCCCCACCGCTAGGTCTTGGTCTACTCGTCATAATCGTATACCCCAATCTTCCTTCCGCTACTCTTGTTATCGACCAATGTACACTTACAATCCACTCTATATGTGCCTATGTGACTTATAGACCACTCCCCCTCCGATATTTACTTTTATTCTGCCCATGAAATTCTTTGCCCATCGCTACCTTCGCTACTAATTTACTTTATAAGACTTACTCCCCCATTGCTTCTTATATTTATAAAATCTGGGAAGTCTGAACTACAACAGTCTTATGTTATCTATGACATTCTTAATCTCCCAATATCCCCTTTGGTCTCTATCCGTAAGAAATAATTTCTATTGCTCCCTTTTAAATTTAACCCCCCGTCCGTATGTCATGAGTCATCAATATAATTTCCATAGAATCCTACAAGTTGGTGTTATACATATGCAAGATTCTTTCTTTGAACTGTAAAAAAATGTACAACTTCCTGGTCACTGAAATTAATTCCCGTAGCTTATCCGAATGTAGACGTGTTTCCGAATGTTACTTGACAAGAATATATCAAGAAAACAATCTTTATGTTAAGCGGGCTTCAAAAGTAGCAAGTATAAAATATTGTTTTATTAAAAATACAAAATTATTTATTGTAAGTTAAATATGTGTATAACAAGAATCAATAATCTATACAAAAGAATTTAATAACAAAGTTATCTTTTTTACTGTACACAAATATTACGTATAATATTTTATTACTTTTTTTGAAGCCAACTTAATGTATTGAAATTGGATTGAAGCCATTTACACTTGATATCTCTATGAGGTTGCTTGGTAAAGAGTGTTACTATGTGATTGGTGCTGCCCCGGCTCCCTTGAAAATGGTTTTGGATGTGTGGTGTCGTACCCTTATGTAGCAGTTACAGTTTACAGACATTTAGTATTTAGATATCCCAGCAGTATGGAATGTTATGGTTAATTTCATTTTCTTTGCGCTGTTTATACCCCTGTGCTTATAAACCCCTGTAAAGTAAACCCCGATATTTATGCACTTAATTCCCCGGTGATACCCCCTAATCGATGTCATATTTTATTATGTATGTAGATAGACACCCCCTTTATTAATTTCAGCACATACGACCGTGTAATAGTCAAAACATGTAGTCAAAAACACATCGAGCTTTATCTGTTTGTTTTCTGGCATCGCCGAGATATCGAAGCTTTTACGTTTTTTAAATTCACCGTAAATACGTTTTAAAGCAAAAAGTTTTTATATCAAACATACCTACAAATGCACCTTTCCTTATTTTGCCTTTACCTGGCCTCCTCTGATAATTTGTTTGCCTACGATTTTATCGATCAATTAACAATAAAGTCGCATGTCGGGACCGTATTAAAATTATGACGTTTATAAAAAAACGTATTTGTAAATTTTGCCAATTCCTGACGATTTATTGGATTTGGGCAGCATCATTCAGTACTCACAATGTGGTCGGAATACGGTTTTAGTACAATGCTAAGGAAATTCGCAAATGTTCAATATTTGCTCAGTGTAACACTAAGAGTATGCTTAATTCAGAAATTGTGTATTACCTAGCAACCCTCCAGGCATGAATGTAATCTGAATTAACCATACTTTGATTTTAAATTGCGAATTTTCTTAGATCTAGTTATTTTCATAATCTACTTTGTACCCAGGTTACCCTATCCAGCGATCCCATCCCGGCAATGTCATTGAAGACGAAAACAAGCAGCTGGAGCTAAAATGTTTTGAATGCATTTGGCAACATGTTTTTCAGATTGTTTCAGAGAGCAATCTGTTAATCGAATGAGATATATTTTTGTTCTATATGTGCGTTGCCTAGTATTGTAAAATCGAGCCCGACTACTTCAAAATGTGCAATGTTAAACTCAAATAACAAGATGGCAATGAATACATTAAAAAGATAATAGAATATTTTTTTTTATTTTACAATGCTCGGCTGATGCTTACAAAATTAATAATTCCTTTATCTAATAGTATCGTGTCTATAAACTTCTTATAGATCGGAGGACTTGCTAAATCACCGTTAGCCGGTCTTGCGGCACTCGGTCTGGGCGGCCTTGGTCCTGCTAATACTAGTGGATTGAACCCGGCAGGTAACTACAGAAATAAACTTTGTATTTAACTCTCTCATTCGCGTTGGCGTGTTATTAAAATTCGCTTTTTCGCTGATATTACAAAAAAAATGTAGTTTTCATTACATACACAGTCAGTTCCTTATAAGATTTTGATCGGATAAAAGTTGCAATAAGGCCATTAAGCGTCAATTGTGACAAGTTTTTGTCATAAATTGCAGCATTAGCCGCTTTGGCAGGGTCTCAGCTGCGCACCGCCAACCAGGGCCGCAACCAGCCCGCCACCAACCAGCAGTCGCACGAGATGACTGTGCCCAACGAGCTCATCGGCTGCATTATTGGCAAGGTACGTCAAATGAGTCATTTATTTACCAATGTTTACTTTGTTTTTATATTATAACCTTTTAATATATATGTTCATATACTTCAATGGCTATGTTTAAAACTAACTTAATGTCTGTTTAGAATTAAATTATAAAATTATCTCTTCGTTCGCAATTCGTCTTTATGTCAGACCATCTTATTGCAGCAGTGATACGAACGTTAGTTTATAAAATGAATGTTATAGGGCGGCACTAAGATAGCTGAGATCCGTCAAATCTCTGGCGCGATGATCCGGATATCAAACTGCGAGGAGCGCGAGGGAGGCAGCACGGACCGCACGATCACCATCACCGGCAACCCGGACTCGGTGGCGCTTGCGCAGTACCTCATCAACATGAGGTCAGTCACATATATCTCTCTCTTTCTCTCCTTCTCTCGTTCTCTCACTCTACGACACATTCCAGCTTTCCATCCGAAAGTCCAAACTTATGTAGCATCCTTGTGATCTTCCCTTGAATTGTCTTTTACCTTTTTGGGCCGCGTCGAAATATTCATGTTCAAACCTGTGATAATTTGCCTTTTACTTTTCTTTAGTTTTATATTTGATTTTTAAATTAAGTTACGGAGATTTAATTATTATGTATTTGGTGGAGAAATAAATAACTGTTGAATTTGAATTTGTTTTATGTATTAAGGCGAGGGTTTCTGTATGTATTTCTGTGATTTAACGATACATTCCTTAGTGTTGACGTATTGAAGGAGATGTTTCTTAGCTGAAGAACTTTATCTAGTTATTATTTTTATTTAATATTTTTTACCAACAGTCCGCTTTGCAACACTTGTAACAAAAATTAACACATTCATAATAATTTTAAGTGTGTCGCGTTTAACGTGTTCCAAATAAAAAAACGTAATTTTGCGTTTAAAGACATTCGGGAAAACCTCGTCTTAAAGTTTTTACCTCCCTATATTTATTTAAGGCGCAATTATCACAGTCCCATATCAGGAGACGTAACCTGAATTGCCTTGAAATTAAAAAGAAAAGTTGGATCGACGCGGCCCTCGTTGCCGCCTGGCCCTTTACAACAATCCAGTCCCGCTCCCGCAGTGTGGAGCTCCAGAAGGCGAACCTCGAGGGTAGCACTTCGGGGGGTTCGACGGCTTCTACGAACAACCCCCTGGCCTCCGCCATCCCTCTCGCGCAACTCCTCACCAAGACCGGCGCCCTCGGAGCCCTAAATTCCCTCACCGCCCTCGGCGGCCTCACAGACCTCCTCAGCGGCAGCAGTTCTCAGCCCGTGCAGACCACCGGAGTGCATCGCAACCACAAGACCTTCACGCAGCGCCGTCAGGACGACGACTCGCCCTCCAAATCCTCTAAGGAACGAAACAAATACAATCCATACTAAGCATCCCAGTCGATTGACGACTTTTCCGAACTGACGTCATCCAAAGAACGATGACCGCCGTTTGGCGCGTCTTCGGTTTATTTACTTGGTACATTTAGTTTTGTAAGAGATATTATTTAAGTTATAATCAGTTATTTGTGACTAACGTAAAATCACTATGAATCTTTTTGGTTTGTAAGGACCATTTTTATAATTTTTAGTATTCTTCCGAACAATATTTATTACGTATACGTATGCGTGACTTTAAGTACGTTTGTTCGTGATACATACATCGATAAACAATTCGCGCTAAAATATTTACCTTTTAATCATTTTTATACAAAATGTTTTTAACGAATTATAAAAGATATAAAATTATATGGGAACTCGAAAGATAAATCATAGTGCACAGTATTTGATCTCGGTAAACCGCGTTTGTTATATGCTACGATTCATATTTTTGTACATAGCACATACAATGTGAATTGTGTATTTTGATAATCAAATCAAAATAAAATTAATATTTTTTTTTCTACTAAATAATATTCAAATTATTTTGCTGAAAACGAAAGTGCAAAATGTAAAATATGTACTTATATCATAATTATATAAATAGTAAACGCTTTTTTTATTTGGTGTGCCAGAGTTTTATCGTTTCTATTATGACCTGCGAAAAAAAAACATCGTACTACGATCAACTAATTTAGTTATCGATTTTTTAGTATCGATAACAGGTAAATTAAATTAAATAATACATCTCATATATTATAGTATATACTTTGCTGCAATGAATCCAATCGTCAAAGAACGAGTCATTGGGCGTTAGTATAACGAAATGAAAAATTCATAACTAATCTTAAAATATAGGTAAAATTACTTGGAATTTGTTACTGAAATAATAAAATGCACTAGTTAAATTATCTCAATATCTCATTTAAATACAAATTTTCATAGAAATTAAAGATTTTTTCACTATTTTAAAATCATTGTTTTATCACACATTTTCTACAATAAAGCACCAATATTAATATGTATATATAAATTTGTAAATTGTAAGTTTTTTTTTAATATTACAAAATCTTCTATGTTCCATTCTAAGTTATATTATTTTAAATTTCAATGAATCTTATAACTATCTAGGGATCGTGACAATAGTAGTAAATACATAGAAGCTTAATGGCTAGAAACGAAGGCAGATAGCTTTGCGACGATATAATATTAAGACTATTGAAAAAACAGGGTGTTTAATGCAGGCATCAAAATGTACCTACTTGCTATTTTGACAAAAAATAAATAAATCATTCAGTTATTTTTTTATATTGCTGTAATACGCAAAGCGTAATAAATTTTATTTAAAAACAAAATATTTTTTTTGTAAAGTTTAATATTTGAACTGTATTTTTGGTCAACAATATTTTTTTTTTGCTTTGATGCTTTGTTGTGGAAACTTTAGAATATATAAATAATCTCTATACGCTGGAAAAATCTAACGGCATAAACTTACAAATTTGCTTGATCCTTGATTGGTTGGTTTAAAAAAAAACCGTCAAAGTAAGAAAGTATGGTTTGATGCCTCAACTGAGAGCTAGCTCTGTGTATTTTTAAAATGGGAGATGATATAGAAGCATTTGTATCTGTAGATTTATGTTACTATTTTTACATTGTACATTTATATGTATTACGAAAAAAGACGAAAATTAATTTGAAATGTAGGTACGTTATCATTTTATTCGAATGATAGAACATGTTTGTTATTTCGTGTGGTTACATTTGATTTTGCGCGATGCGCTGCACTGGACTACGTTTGAAGTTTGACCATTTTCTCTTGAAATTTTGATCGTTTGTTAAGATAGACGTAGATGGGAATGTTTTATATTTATATCTTCGTATGTTAAGGTTATAATTAATTAGTAATAGCAAGCCATCTAGATTCTTAGCGATGGCAATGTAAAGCAAATATCACCAATGTCATAATCTGCCACGCAATTACATGAAGGGTTCAGTAACAATGGGTCTATACGGCAGGGGGGACTCTGGGACCCTCAGGGAAATCGCAGTGTAGGCTATTGCCTATGTGATATCTTATTACTTAGTGTGAACTTGAAAATCGAGGTCCAATTCAAATGTTTTTAAAGTTAGTTGTAGTCCCGATCGGGAAGACGCGTTATTTAGCCGCCGATGTCGTTTTTATTTGTAATTAAATCATGTTAATTTTATGATAATAGCCATTTTCATCATATCTTTTCAGGTGTATTACTCGCTAGTATCATTAAGTGAAAGTATTGTTTTAAGTAAATACTTAATAAAATAATAAGAGTAAGTGTGCGTTTCATTGATTATCGTCGTCCGTCGTGTAATATTTTGTATGTAAAGTACAGGTTAACATTATTTTAATGCTAAATCTCCAAGAACCCACGCCATATTCCTGTAGACCAAAACATTCCCGTGACACTGCCGTCCCCGCCTCGGCCGGTCCATCGAGTACCTCATCCTCCAGACAACCGGATCACCCAATCCCGGTAAGATGTCTCCTTTACATTTTTATTTTCTTTCCTAGATTATCCACCACATTGGGACATTTGTAACATCGCTAAAATTATATTTTGTCATTACCTCACTGGTCACATTCCTTGCGTCTCCGATTCCATTATCATCCGGTAAATGTTACTATCGAAATGGATGTAACTGTTTTTATTTTTATAATCTTATAAGGTTTGTGGATGTTTCAGGATCACAATGGAGACTGCTGGTCTGCCGCTGCCCGGGTACCACTACATCGCTCCGAATCACATTGTGAAGGCGCCGATCCATTGAATGGGGCTCCGCGGGCCGGTCCCCCGCGCCCCGCACTGCGCCTTCGCCTACCCGGCGCACTATGGGAGTCCGGCTCCGATCTACTATTTCAAGTGAAAGGCCACTGAAGAAAAAGGGGGAAAGCGATTGGCAAATAACTGAACATGTATGTTTACATTTGTTACGAGTTTATAAGTATTTTAGATATTCTTATATTTATTCTCCACTATTTAAATGAATAAAGTGAGAGGAGTCGATCGCGCACTCGATATCAAGAGTGGTGATATAATTTGTAATGAAAAGATTTTAGGAACGTTTAAAACTGAGAATAAAGAACATTTAAAGTGACTGACGTTTTAAAAAAAAATAATTTTGATCAGTCCGTGAGCAGTGAACGTCATAATGGTCGGACGGTCTCTTCTTTCGTTCTACCCTCGTTCACTGTTCATAGATTTAAGGTTACGACATCGGGAGTTAGCTGAGCTGATCGAATTTACTATGGATTTAAGCGGTCGATTGATTCAATTATCCGTTGGAAATTATTTTTTAATCATGTAACGATCGGTGCGGACGCCGAGAGACGTAATGAGAACGTTCGAGATAAGTTTTGTAGTGCGACAACGGTGTAAAGTAGGCGTAGGGGACTCGAGCGAGCTCGGAAGCGCTGACGTAGCGTTAGTATTAGATTAGAGAACAGAGTGAGAGGGTTAAAGACAATATTTGTAAATAAATATGGTAATTACCTGGAAACATTAGGTATTACAGTAAGCAGTCTTATGCACTAGTCGGCTAAAGGAAGCAGCGGGCGGACCGCGACTGAAACTTTTCCAAACACATCAAATTAAAACCTAAGCATATCAACATTGCATCATATCCATAGTATGACCGCCCGCGCGGGGCTCGGCGACGTAACAGTGCTCAGTGCATAGGGCATCTAGCAGTGCGATGAGTATTGGCGCGCAACTGCACGAAACCGATGGGATCAAATCCTTTAAGAAACTTACCGTAAAACAAAGGGAGAAATCAATGAAGTCGTCTACGATCACAAAAAAAAAAGACGTTAGTTTTTAAAAAATAATAGTGTTGCTAATTGTGATAGTCTTCTTATTTATTTAATATTCAAAGATCTCTAAAAATAATATACACCTTGTGTACATCGGCTACGAGAAATTTTAATTCGATTGTATGATATTGGTCCAGGGATCAAGCCAAAGATTGTTAAAGTTTGTTTAAACAATAATAATGTTGTGTATTTATGCTAAATTATTCTGTCGATAGTTTAACACTTAGTATTTGTAATGTAGAGCATTTTATTTCAATTATTTTAATTACCCTCTCCAGAAAGCTCATTGTATTTTAGAATTAGGTCAAACGTATAGATAGACCGGAAAGGTAAATGTCATATTTCAGAAAAAAAAAGAAAAATCAAAATAAAAATGTCTTAGTATAAAATAGATTAAGATAAGCATAGGACCAGAACATGTATATGCTTTTCAATGGACACGTTCAAAAGACAAAAATACTTAGTGCCAAGATAATGACAAACTTTTTGTGCCAAAAATGAATATACATAAAAGCGAGGGGGACTATGGTAATGGGACCCACTATTCGCTTAATATTCAAATATTGAATGATGCAATTACTAAGAGTAATTCTAATTTTAACCACATACATATTAATTTTGCACATCTCTAGATATAAGTACATAATTAGAATTTATATTCTTGAAACATATCCCGATATAAAATTTTCCTCGTGTCTTCCCTTCTGTAATATCAATATTAAATTATAAAATTAATTATTGTATGTGCCAAAGTCGTGTCTGATTGCTATCATCGGGTTTGTATGTGTATGTATGAATTTTATCAATGACATCTCTATTTGTACTAGTCAAATTCTTCTAAATTCGAAGACAACTCTATAAAACCTTTATACACTCTAGTCAAAATTTATCAATTGGTGTTTCTTTATATTTTATTCTAAAACTATATGAATATTATTATTTTCGTTATATTATTCTCGTTTTGTTATTTTCGTGGTAACTTTGCTTCGATTATAAATAAATTAGCAATAAAAAAAATGATAAAATCAATTATTTATAATAAAAAAATGTTTCATATAAGACAATGTATAGAGCTTTGTACATTTAAATATAACACAGGTAAATCTAGATTTAAATCCTTAGCCATAACACAATAACATGGGAGTTGAATGTAAAAATACTAGAGAGAAATTTCTAGCTGTGATTTTCACTGGAGCGCACTTTAGTGCTGAATGCTGACGGAGCATATAGTGGGTAGTAACAAAAAACTTGAGTATTATATCCGACTCTTGATAAATATTGACTACGTCTACTTGTCAAAGAAAAATAAAGGGTTTTTGAATTTTCAAATTATCCATTCAGTGACGGCTAATCGAATCGATTTTTGTCCTCATTGAATCTTATTTGAAGTGCTCAAGTTATTTGTCATCTACGTTGGGTCGGTTACAGGTAGCGATAGACGCTTTATTAGCTCTCAATGGTTGCGTCACCGAGGAAACATCTGGTATAGTATAATCCAAACTTTATGGCGGATCGTTTAGGTATCGTTACGCCGTAAAGAGGAACCTCTGCTCACAATTTTGTACATGGAGAGGTCGCCCGACTTTGCGAAGTGCGTTCGCAGCTAGCCACGAACCGCCATAAAGATTGATTCTTGTAATAGCAAATGAACTTTATATTCTTTGTATAACGTGTGCACAATAGTCTGCAATTCCCGACCTGCTTCTTACTCACGAAACGTTTAAATATCGTAACGCGTCAGTGACGTCATCAAGTGTCATTGTGCACGCGGAGCAAAAGAATTCAAAATGTAAGTATACAAAAGTACACTTTCGAACGAAAGTTTCTGTGTATTGATGTTGTTGATGAGTGTTATAATAATATTTAGTACAATGCAATTTTTAAATAATATTAGAGAATAGTATTAATTTCTTGTCGTGTATTATTTGTGTATTATCGATTCGATGTAACATTAATATATATTACATAATTATATTCGTGTTAGCGTAGCTATTAAAACATTGTTACTGTTATTTTGATTTGCTCAATTATTTAAAATGTTTACGTTAGCTAGTGATCATTGTAATTGAATTTTGTGTTGGATAGCGACCTAGTTGGAATCTCAGTGTAGCTGTGATGGCAATTTCGAAATGAAGACTTAGTTTTACAATGTATTGTGAGTCGATACGTGCGTTTATTAGATATATAATATAGGGGCTTTGTGTACACTTCTGGACTGTTTTTGCAATGTATTAATGTCGTGTTATTATAGGCATTTGAAAAATGTACTGACGTATCGGTGGCATTGATGATTGAGTGGTGGCTCTTTATACAACTTAAAGAGCCGTATAGTAAAAATGTATTATTGTTTGATGTTGTTTATGTCGGTACCTATGATGTGTTGACGTTCATGCAATAATTTGAATCATTTATTAATAATGTTTTATTTTGTTGAACATTATGAATTATTAGCCTTTATTAACAGGGTCAGATTGCGCTGTATAATAGAGTAATTGAAATCAATTTTAGCAAATATTTACTAAATGTAATAGTAAATTTTTTAACTTTCGTGTTAGCACCTGAATTTTAAATTCTTATTGCACCTTTTTTCAAAATCCCAATTTTGAATTTCGTGGCAATAAATGCATAATATAACGAGTACTAGAAAGTATTCGGATTATTCCTCGTATATCGAATTACTTATTCGTGTGGGGAACGCGAGTGCTAAATGAAAAATATTTTGCTATCTTCGTCACTTGTCAATCCGCATACAGGTTCGGACGATTGGGTAATAAGGGTTGTGTAATTTGTTATGCATATACAATATATTAAAAAATATATATATGCTTCAATCCCTTTAGATACGATTTATTTAGTACCTATTTCAGACGTAAACCTACGCTGTAGACTACCAGGGTAATAAATACAGATAGTGTCTTTCTAAGTTCACGTCACATATATTTCAAATTACTCCAAAAGATTAAAAGGTAAATGTTCAAAAACCAACTAGCTTTGGATGTATGGACAAAATGAAGCTAGTCGGCAAATTCCTTGTCAAACATAATGACACTAATAAATCCGAACTGCACAACTACATTTTGCCACCCTATTATGTTCTAGAGCTTGTTAACCTCCATGAAAATGTAATTCTCATTTAAATTAAACACGGTATAGTTTTCAATTTGAAGATACGCTGATAAAACACATTTTATTTGGTACTTGTGATGCTGACTGTACCGTTTTATTTGCTTCAGAGTGTAATCAGTAAAGTTACTTATCGACTGAATAGTTAAGGATAGTGTCGAAATGGTAATAATTTGTCACTGCTTATATATCGAAAAGAAAGCATTTAATTTTTTTCATCATAATCGCAATAAATGGCTGCAAATATCATTTGTAAATTAATATCATAATAATCAGGGACTCAATAACAATTTAATAAGGTAAAATGTTTTTGGATCGGGCAATGTGTGTGCAATCATTCTTGTCCCTGTAAAAAGGTCCTATCTTGAAAATCCTTCATAGGAAAGTTTATTTTATATTTTTGAAAGGGAATAAAGTACGAGGAACATTAAGGCACAATTTTTTGTTGACAATGTCTAAGTAAAATTGTAATGGATTTAAAGATGGGACCTGTTAGTTTAGATGTATGTAAATGTTGTGTTTGACTTCATTAAATCGGTGGTATTTAGATAGATTACATACGTAGAGATTTTTTCATTTATAATTCACCACAAGTTTAGATATATCTCGTAATATTTTTCAAATATCACGTCTATTCGACATATCTAATCGTTTTTGTGAATTGAATTGATTAATGTTATAATAAATATAAATGTTGTACTTACGGTTACAGTATACTGTCATTGCGGTTAGTTTCGATAATAATTAATGTTTGTTTTCATTATGTTAATTCAATAAAGTGTGTAAATAAATATGTATTTCATTTACAACTCTGGCTTTAAGGAAGGAGCGTCGGTGGCTCAGTGGTCAAGCACTTGCAATCTGCAGGTCCTAGGTTCGAATCCCGCCATGTACCAATGTGTTTTTTGATTTACATATGTACATTTATCCGACGTTCTTACGGTGAAGGAAAACATCGTGATGCAACCTGCACATATCTGAGAAGAAATTTAAAGATACGTGTGAAGTCAACCAACCCGCACTTGGCCAGCGTGGTTGACTATGGCCTAATCACCCTTAACTTAGGGTAGGCTCCGAGCCCCTTGGTGGGGACGTATAGTGAGCTGATGATGTCTGGCTTTAAAACCCACAACACGTTTTTCCCTCGCTAAATAGATATTATGTTTTAAAACAGTCTTTCCAAAAGTGGGCGATAACGCCCCCTTGTGGGCGCTGCGGGTCTCAAGTTGCGGGTTATAGTAAAAGTTTCGATTAGAATTCTCCGTTAATATACATATATAGGTCACAATATTTAATTAATTTAATTTAAATTTATAGTGGTTTTTAAATATGTGAAAATATGGGGGCGCTAAAAAAATATTTATTCTTAAAGTGGGCAGTAGACAAAATAAGTTTGGGAACCACTGTTTTAAAACAATAAAAACTCTAAAATCTACAGATTTCTATACATAGTTAGTCTAGCATTTATAACCATTAAACGACTGAGTTACATATCGTCCTTTAACCTAATAATAAAAAGTTTAGTTACTATACATAAATTTACACATGACAAAAGATGCATTCTCGTTGAATATGTGCCATAATCATGTGTGTCAAATGAGGTCATCCGCTCACTCACCCCACATTTTGATATAATGCCAAACTTGAAATATTTCAGCAATAGACAACGCTAGCTTCGCGAATTGGTTTGTCTACGTAATATTTCTATTTTAACATTAGAAAAGCTAAAAGTAAGTAAACATAAGACTTTCGAAAACAGGCAGGTAAGTCGCGTGTACATTAACAGGCCGAAATTAAAATTTACAAGTGGTTCGTCTTTACACCAAAAAGTATCAGAGTGTCATGGAAGAAAAGAACAAAAATCTGCTACATAAATAAAATATATGTAATAACGCCATCTATTTTAAAAATGAAAAACTAATTCAAGCTTTACGAAAAAATTGTAAGCTTAAATAAACTAAGTTGTGAAAGAATATTCAATGGATGTTACGTGACCATCGCAAATGATCGACGTCTGCACAGAATGTTAAAAGCTTATTATGTTCCAAAACTTTATGACATGTGAAAACGGACACAGAGATACGAAAAGGCGTTAGATGCTCGAATCGTCCTTTGCGCTGTCTCTACTTAAATATAATATTAAACAAATGCAATACACAAATATTTTGTACTTACAAACAGCTATTTAATGTAAGTTTTAAGCAATTACCAAAATTTTAAAATACAACAGGAGTGAGAAACTTAATGAGAAATAACTTCAGAAAATTCTAGCGAAAATTTAACGAAAAGTTATTGTAAGAAAGAATTATATTCCCACTAAAGAAATAGCATCGGTTTTAACAAAGACGCGGCCTTAAGAGTAAAGTGATCTGAATGAAAGGGTAGTTAGCACACCGCCCGCGGCTTGCGGCCGGCACAAACGGCGCCCTACTTGCTACACAAACCACGACGTCTTTACTGCGGTCACCATAGAATCTTACAAAATGTAGCAGATACTTCTTAATCCTTGAATTTTAATTGTGTTATAATATTATAGTTTTGTTATCTAACAGACAAACTACGTTATAATTCAAACAGTAGCTAATTCATTGGAACTATTATTATTATAGTTCAATTACTTACTAGCATAAAACAAGATCCTTAAGATTTTTTAAGGTTGAGTATAAGTCGAATTCTTAATCATTAAAGATTATCCGTTTATCCGTTGCAGTAAATTATATTTAATGTTAACCCAATATAACTTTTGCTTACGTTCAATGTCGCATGAACAATTCCCTTGAGGTATATAACATTATTTATACTCACGCTAGCTTAGCATAAATTAGTAATGCGAATGTCTAACGCTAACATTTCATACTCCAACAAAGAATAGTCAGAATATGGGAAATATCGATTCTTCCAACATCCCGAAGAATTGTTCCTATTTTAAAAACTAAATGGAAAAAAAACTGCGTAACGTTTTTTGGATATTTTTCAAGAATTTGTAGCGTAGGTAATAAAGGTGGGCCGAGTGTCTAAAAAGAAATGCTCAAAAGAAACTAAATATAGGAAACAAACAATGTGATGGTGCGGGCCGTGCATATTTACAAAGGCGGTCTCCGCTTTGCTCTGCGGAACGTAAAACAAAAGATTCCGCTCAGGCTTTTTATCACACAAATAAAAAAGAATTGCTCGAGATGAATAAAACAGACTTATTTCGCAAGCACACTTAAAAGTTTTATAAGCAAATAAATTGTAAAAGAATCAATTGCTTGCAGTCACTTTATTGAAATTAATAAAAATCAAAACACGAATTGAATATTCACAAATTTGCTTTTTGAAAAGGACAACACTACTTTTTGATATGTAATCGTGAAGACTGAAAAACCTTAACAAATACATAGAAACTCTAAAGATGAGAATAAGAAAAGATGATACGTACTTTTTACTTTGTTCATAGGAACTTGTGCAAAAATACAAAATACTTTATACTGTACATAACGATCGTAGTTGGCCCCTCAAGTAACAGATGTTGGCGCTTATGTTCATTATGAAAATTTATTTAATCTCATTACGTAGGCTTATTAAAATCATTGTCGTTGAATTTTGTTAAAATTATGGAAATTCCAGGACATTTAAAGAATTTCTTTTAAATTCTATATTCATATTGCTGGATATTTTTTCAGACTAATCCGTTGTATAACCAAATAATAGGCGTTTAGCAAAGAACTATAGCCGAACTCCACGCGACTGGCGACGGCGACATCCCAGCGCCCTGACCTCTCATGCTATTGACTTTGCCATGCTGATGCCGCTACGTGATACGAAAATAAATTCATGTCATTACACTTTCTCATAATATTATATATTATACTAATTTCGAATAATAGAAAGCATTAGAAGATTACCAAGACTCGACATACACCAAGATCTTATAGTAGCAAACTTTAAAAGAAATTTGTAAGTTTTAAAAATTTTCTGCCGTTGAAATGAAACCTTAATACACAGGTTATCTTACTATATGTTAATAAATTAATTTAATGTTGTTAACGGTGGAATAAAAAGCGTAATGAACAAAAGATGGTGTGCGCGAGACACGAGGCGCGCAGGGCGCATGCCCGCCACTGCGCCACTCGCAGCGCACTGCCCCCTAGCGGAGCACGCCGCAGTGAGTTGCGTAACAAAAGCACAGTCGCCTTCAAACGTCTCGCTGAAAACTTTCGCCTCTCTGTTCGCGCCGTACAAAATGGATAACCTTAAATCGATCTAAAAAAACTTTGTAACAGGACTTTTACTTTAAAAATAATAGAATTAATTTTAAAGACAGATTAAGACCCTTCGGACGCTCTAACGCTTTCCAATTTAATTTTTTTTAATATTTGAAAAGTTGTTCTAAGTTTTCAGTGGCGAAAAGTGTAGTGGTTTTCGCCGGTCGAATACGATACATCGTATATTAGTGTGTGTTTTTTGTTTGTTTTGTTTTATTTTGCTTGACGGCGAGTGACGGCAAGTGGTGGCAACCAGTGGGGGGCGCTGGTGGTGCCGGAATCGATACTGCGGTGGGAGCGGCGAAGGTAACTTTTAAATGTAACGAATCAGTCGTTTTGTTTCATAAACGACATTATTTAAATAATTCATAATATAACTATGTAAAAAGTCTAATTTAGGCTCTATGCAACTTTTATGTATAACTTAGTAATTTTTTCCAAAACTTGGCATTATTATAAATATGCATTGCAATAATTATGTCACATACAATTGTCTCATTATTCAAACTGAGTTAATTATTATTCATACTAGTTTAATTATGATATAATAAAATTATTTTCACGTTCGACCTATTATATATTTTCTTCTGTATAAAATTAATTTGGCATTAAATATTTTTTACGGCGAACAAAGGCGACGTTACAATAACGATTGCATTGAACAGAAAATAAAAATATTTGGTCACCAAAAAAAAATATGACTTAAAAAAATTCCTTTCAATATACATACTACGATCTCATGAATACAAATCATCACATCACGTACGTTAATCATCATAAAAATATTATGAACCTGAAAATGTTCTATAATGTACACACTATGTTTAGATTTTACGACTTGCCGTATTAAACGCTGACGAGAACCGAATAATGACCGTACTCTCTTCATCACAACATAACTTGTTTCAAACGTATAAAATTATTTTGTAGTAATAGTTCATTAAACACTTTTGTTAACCCTACTCAGTGTACTTATGACATCCGTGAGAAGAATATTAACTGAATGACACCTTACTCATCAGAATCGGTCCAGATATTTAGGCCACAAGATGTCACAATGAAACTGATATCTCCACTATCCTCCTAAAAGCAGGGTAAAGAATTTCTAATGATACTAGCTGTTTCCCGCGACTCCGTCCGCGTGTTTGTCTGAAAAAAAAATAGGGGTGGGCTACCCTTAACATTTAGGGGGATGAAAAATAGATGTTGGTCGATTCTCAGATCTACTCAATATGCTCACAAAATTTCATGAGAATCGGTCAAACCGTTTCGGAGGAGTATGGGAACGAAAATTGTGACACGAGAATTTTATTATATAAGATATACTTAGTAAGATTATATGTATAATTTCATAATACATATGTATGTACATCCAAAGACAATAATGTAATCTGTGACAATAACAAACCACAGACACAGTCCTAAACAGTATCCCGAAAGATTGACAATGTTTGCACTAAAACATCAAAAAGAAATTCTAAGTTCGGATAAATGTAATAAAATTGTTACGTGAAACGAGATAAAAATGTAATGTGTCTCAATGAATTGATGTAAATGGATTGCAGTATCTTCTTGTTTATAAATGTGAACTACCGTAGTTTTCTGGCTGCCATCCAATATTTTGATTTAAAATTAAAATTTCTATTTAGAAAATTTAAATCAAGTACTTTCACCGAGACTACGAATGAGAGACTTTAATTCTGATTTAATATAAAAACTAAATTACCGTAGAGAAAATCACGCATAAGGCTAGGGAGCTTTATGCGTAAATTAGTAGTTAAAGTAGGGACTTTACTTTATGTATTAAAACGTCAGAATAGAGAATATCGGTTAATCGCTACCATCGCGTACCTTATTAATTTCTTATGTTTTTTCCCTCTTTTTATGTCGATTTTACGACATTGCCGCACTTTCGTTGTCTTACAAATCCGTTACAAAGATAGGATCGATGAGAAAAGTCCCGCGATGTATTACATAATAATCCTCACGACCCTACCTCAAAGATAAGCTTTAGGAATTTTCTTTTTTGGAAAGGAAAAGGTTCGATTCAACCAAGATTTAAATCATTGGGTTTGAAAAAGGTTTACCAGTAGGTTTATCTTTATTACCCACGCATCAAATTATTTTTTGAAACATAAAACCTTTGGCTGTACCTTTATTTAACCTTTATTTTATATCTAGCTGTTTTTTGATTAAAGGAATTATTTTTAAAAAATATATCTTTGGCCCGAATAAGCTAACTAAAATTACAAAGTTGATTTTTTCAATTTATTTCAGGAATAGAAACCTGTTCTCTAAGTTATACATATAAATTATGAACTTGCTAATAAACTTCAAGCATAAAGTATTTCTAATTATGCATATTACGAGAGCTAATTATTATTTAATAAGAAAATTATGCATAAAAGTGTCAAGACTAATGTACTAACGAATAATTAAACAGTATCATCTGAATGCGGACTGCTCGTTGAAATTCCATTTTGAATTTCAAAGCTAAAAGATATAACACAGAATAGCGTTTGGTGAAATAATTTAAAATTACCTACTGGACTAAATAAATTAATGTCGGAATATCGTATATTATTTTGTTAACACTTATTTACATTTAAAAAATTAGTATAGAGGTGTTCAATTTTAAAATTCCAAAAAAAGAGCTGTCATAAAAATTATGCAAAATAAAATTTAAACTTTAAATTATTACAAATAGTTTAGTGCATTTACATTTTAATTTTGAAATTATTTTTTTTCTGACTCGGCCCGCTCGTTAAAGTTTTACGTTTTTGTCTCGCGGTTCTAGCGGTCAAGTTCTCTACTGCGGAGTCGAGAGTTGTGGCCTATTTGTAAAGCAAATTATTTGCACTTCTAATTTTAATTGTTAGCTCCAACAACTCTGAGCTCCAGCTATATAATATACACTTGAAAGTTGATGTTTAAAAAAAAAACATTGTTCTGCTTCCGTTGTTTCCTTTCGCCGCGGAGGTTACGAGCAGCGGCCAAACGACCTATTGGCCGGGGATTGCGTTCTAATTTCAGTTACGACACTTCCCGAACACCCATTTGTCTAGTTGGCTAGTTAGCAAACTACGTCTACCGTTTAATTATTCATGAATCTGTTTGATTGAGCATTCTCTCTCAAAATACCAATAGTAATCATCATTCTAATGTAATTGTGATGTAGGTAGCTATAAAATTACTTTGTATAATTTACCCTATTGAATGGATATTTTGTAGAACAGTCGAATTATACATCTTGGACTTGACACTCGTGTTTTATTGGATATATTACAGTAATTGTATACTTAGAATTTACTGAAATATAACCACGGCTATGACTAAATCAAATAACAATATTAATTAGCTACTACACATCGTAACATTTTAACATCACATGGCCGCCACTTATAAGCAAACACTACACTTTACTTTTATTTTCGTACCTAAACTAACCTAAAAAAAAACAGCTCTAGCGTATGCGCATATTACTCACAAACATTGAAACTTAAGTTTCAATTACATTACATAACTGAATATCTAAAAGAAAATACCATTGCGAGAACTTGGCACATATAAATGAAACGCAAACACGAAGGAAAAGTATCTCAACGTATTATAAATAAGCACATTAGTCATTGACAAAGATTATATGATACACGTTGTAAACAATATAGCGACGGTCGAGTGCATCGCAGCCGCACCTCACTCGTCACAGAATGTCAAACTGTTATAATTAGACGAGAAGTAGCCACCAACCTCGCCCTTGAATAATTGTATAGGCTACTACGTTATATCAAAAGAATCTACTGATGTTTAACTTTTCTATGGGTAAAAAGGTTTAAACTTTTATGATTACATTATTATAAATTAATTAGAAACGACTTACCTTACGTATGATCTTCCGATGATGGTACCGAATTGCTTCAGATCCGTCAGGGGTCCATGTTCAGGGCGAGTATTTTTGTATGTGTTGTATTTTCTTTCTGTGGATTGTTAATAAAATAAAAGTAACTAATTTTATGAATGAATTATTTATACATGTTTTAACATTACTACGATATTCAATATCTTAATTATTGCAAAAATGAAATTGTTTAGGAACAAAATACTTTAAAAATATCGTCTAACGTTTCGGGTAGGCTGGAACGTAATCATCCTGATACACTTCCTACAAACGATGTCATATTGATCGATGGCGACGTTGGACAACTGTATCGACATCTAGCAATAAATCATTTTTTCCGATATCCACAGACAAAATAAATATAGAGTTTATTCAGCAATGTTACAACAGTTCATCAATAAAGAACGTGAATTATGAAATACCATAAAACTGAAAAAAAATCATGTTTAGTATTTTAACCGTTATGAAACACAAAATCAGCTAATGTCATTTTTTTTATAAAATACGATTTAGTAAAAATAAAAACAAAATTAAGTGAGGTGTACGATGTATGTAGTTTATAAAAGGGTACGAATGCTTCTTGCTCCAAAGCACATTTTAGGGAGATTTTTTAACATTCTCTTTCTCGTATTACTAAAATACTAGCTTTTTTTCCGGACTCTGTCCGCGCCAAAACTAAAGAAAATAATTTATAGTCTATATACCTTTCAGTCTATGAACCTATGAAAAATTTTAGCGTGATCCGTTCGATGTTCTCGAGATGTAATATATAAAATTATATATTTCAATTATATCAACTTTAAAAACTTTAATGCCAATCGTATGCAGAACCGTAGCTTAACATGAATCTTGAATTTGCAGTAGAGCGTGTTTATTCATCGATGATTTATGAAGTTGTTTTTGTGACCTATTTTCCCTAGCTCTTCATAAACTCTTGTCGAAAATGACCCTTGTCTATACTAAGATAACTTCCAACCTCATTTGAGAACAGAAATGTAAGCTCAAGTTTATTGTTATGGTACACACAACTTGCCTTTGTAATATTCTCATCTCTTGATTTATTTTTGTTTATTTGTAAATTAATTAAATATTATTTTTAATTTGTACATCGTATATCAATTAATCAATCTATAGTATTACTATGACATATGTTTACGAGGCTTAGATATAGCTTATAGATTTAGTAATATCATGTGTCTATAGCTCCGAGAGTAAGGAATTTCTAATTTAGTACACGAGGCGAACCTATGTTACTATGACAGGTATGTGATAATAAGACGCAATTAAGAAAACTATCTTAGACAGCAACTTCCTGCCTCGCACAGCAGCGTTGTGGAATGGTCTGTCCTCGGCGGTATTTCCAAACCGCTACGACTTAGGGTCCTTCAAGAAGCGAGCCTATCACCAC